AGTATTAGGCTGAGGCTGGGACTCTGCTGCCTCCCTCTCTCCCTTTTTACTTCCACGATAAACCATTTGCACGCTTCCCTTACCTTGGGGTCTACTTTAGAGAACCTGATATAGGACAAATATTTACTTTGATTTATTATAAATATTTCCTGAGTGTCTGCTAGGTGCCCAAGCTCCCATTCTAGATGCTGAAAATACATCTCCGTCTTTAAAGAGCTTTCGTTCTAGGAGTGTTAGACAAACGACAAATGTGAGCCTGATGATAATAACTATCTTTTTTTTTTTTTTGCACTTTTCTGTATTTTCAGGACTCTTAATTTAATGAAAATTTATTTTCTTTAGTTAGAAAAAAATCTTTAATAAATATTGTCAGAAAAAAACTCATCCTCCCCATATCCAGCTCAATCCCCCACCTTACCTAGGGCTGAGTGTCTGGCTCTCCCGCTCCCTTTTGTGCAGCTCCTTTACTAATGTAGAACAGCTGTCTGATGTTTTCAAGTCTCCTTCACACTCTTTTTGACACACAGTGTGGATGACATTTCTTTTTAGCCAATATCCCCTACAGAAGCTAAAAAGACTGAACGGCACTTTCCCAGTCTCCCTTGAACTCAGGTGTGGGTATGTGTTGCAGATTCCATCGTCCATATGCATCTGCACCAAACATGTCCTTGGAAAGTAGAGATGCTCAAGAGCAGAGGCCACAAGGGACCCATGGGGTGGAGCAATACTGACAGCAGCAAATTCAGTTTCCAGAGGCAGCAACAGTGGTTCCAGGGGTGGGTGGTCTCCTTGTTGACCATTCCTGGTGGTTTCCATGGTGGTTCCAGCAGTGATGTCTGGTGTTGACAGTGTGAGGTAAGAAAAATGTCCAGCAGCTGAGACACTGGTGTCTTCTTAAGACTGGTCCTGAGCAGTGAAATTGAGAACATGGTTCCTGGCAGTGTGGCTTCTAAGTCAGATTCTCAGCCCTGCTTTGGATTATATGAGACACCAATTATCTTTTTAAATAAATTTCTTTCCTATTTACATTAGCCAGACTTGATTAATGTGTGTAGCAACTAAAAACTGTGATAAATATATTTGCTTTCCATGTTCTTTCTTTCTTCTTCTTCTTCTTTTTTTAACATCTTTTTTTTAGTTGTAGATGGACACAGTACCTTTATTTAATATTTTTTATGTTGTGCTAGGCAAGTGCTGTACCACTGAGCCACAAACCCAGCCCTTGGTTTCCACTTTCTGATATCACTTTTCTCAAACCCTCACCATCTGAGGCCATTTCCTTTGATACTCCAGTAATGGAGAGACATTATTCCTGTCCCTCTGCCTTAAAACCATGTCCTTCTACCACCATTCCTTAGCCACTGCTTTTTTGACCTGAACAGCATCCACTAACTGACTTCTGGAATGAGGTCTGTATCTAGCCCCTCACTTGTATTCTCTATATCCTCTGCATTCTCCTGGTGATTCACTGCACTTTTCTCAACTTCAATGACCTTAGAGTGGTTTTGAGTGAATTAAAGAGAAACTGAAATTGGAGGGACAGGTCTGAAGCTTGCTGTGAAACCTAACCTCTCTTTACTCCTGCCACCTTTAAACCGTCTATCTAGAAGCAAATACTCCCTTTACTGTTAATGTTGTAACTCAAACGGAAGGAGCTAAAGCTACAGAAAAGATGGCAGGAAGGGGAATTTAGAAACCTGATCAGCAATAAAAAGACGGACAGGTTGACATTTAGAGGCTGAGTTCATAATCCAGATCTAAGAGAGATGTGTTAATATATGCAATAATACTACAATAAAGGTGGAATGGGCTCATTCTATTGACTAACAATAAAAATCAGTAGCATTTGTTATTTTATTATCCTCCGAAAAATTTAGCAATGAAGTCCCTCAGAAACCCTTAAGTGAAACTATATGTTATTTGGGGCCAGAGGCCTGGGGAAAAAATTTCTAGAATATTCTATGTTGTAGTGAAGGAGAGAAACAGGTAGAAATGCTAATGGAAATGGACCCTAGTGGGCTAAGTGGGGAGCTAGCCTCAAGTTCAAAAGCACAATTTGCAGTGCACATTCAAGAAAGAACTCTAACTTCATTACTGTTCCTCTTGTCAACCACAGGAATCTTCCCTCTGTGAACTTTTGCATTGTGCAGCTCTGTTCTAGCTCCAGGGAATCAAACTCAGAGCTTTCTCTCCCCCCCCCCACCCCCCCACCCCCAATTTCCTTATCTTCTATAGTTTCCTTTATTATATCCCATAGATTCAGTTCACATTCCCTGAACCCATCTTTATCTTGACTGAGTCTCCTGATGCCTCTCTTTACTCCTGCCACCTTTAAACATTTGTGTTCACTTGCTTCTCTACCAAAATTTGTCTGGAAGGTTTGTTGTTTTGGAGCTATTTTGAATCTGCTGTTTAAATGCCGTGGTCACCAATGCCAAGCCTTAGTCTTGAGTCATTCCAATTGTCTGCTTTTAGTTAATATTGCTGCACCAATAATCATTGTTAGAAAAGACATATTAGACAAGTGAAAAAGCATACTAATTTTATTTGTTTGGCTCTTTTCTTTCATATACTAACATTCACATGTGTCATTTTAAACGTGTGATACCCGTTTAAATGTGTCATTTTAAACATGTGATGAGAAAGAGACAGAGAGAGTAAGAGTGCGAGTGAGTGAGAGAGAGAGAGGCTGATCTAGGATCCCACAATCTACTTTGAGGGCATGCCCTCTAATGACCTAGAGCCTCCCCGCAAGGGCCTTTCTCTTAGTGTTTCTACTACCTCCTAATAGTGCTATGTTGGGGACTAAGCCTGTGTAATACATGGGTCTTTGTCGAACATTACAGATCTAAACTATTGCACTGGGTGCCATAGCCATTTCTAGTTGAAAAGGAAGATTGGGATATTTAGTTTCTGGCAAAGTGGAACAAGATAGTTATGAATATGCATACCAATATTGATCAAATTTTGAGCCTAGGCATACCGCCACCCAGAATAAAATAAAGGTTCTGTTAGTATGGAAGAAGAGAAGAGGTATATTGAATATTAACCCACAATATTTGCCAACAATATATATTTGCTCAATAAATATTAGTTGACTGCATGGTCTAAGAACAGGGCCAGCAACCTGCCATCACATGCAAAGGAATGTATGCCCTGGTTTAATAAATTACTTATTCAAAGGTACAAGTTGCTTCTAAGTTACAAGTGCTGGGAATCTGCACCCAGAATTGTACTTTGTTCTGATGAGAGCCACTGAGTACACATGCCGTGGTTGAGTGAAATTTCATTCTTATTTGGATTCCAATCAATTTTGTCATTTCTCAGGGGCAGATGTTATGCATCAAACAAGTAACAGATTGTAGCATTAATTTAAACAGTAAGTAAGATTTAGTTTATAAGATGCTTACATTTATTGGAGGGAAAAATCCAATGATGTCACCCATGTACTTTGAATAAGCAATTCAAGTACTTTCTATTAGGAAAAAATATTTCTAAAAAATGATAAAGCAGAGAACACCTATATACAAGGATTCCACAGAATGGTGAAGACAGTAGTGGTAGGTGTCTGCTGATTCGGATCTGGAATGAACAGCATTAGTGATAGTGACAGGACTAATGTATGGTGGCAACTGAGAATAAAGCTGAAAGAAGAAAATTGAGAGACATGGACAAAGGGAGAATAAAAGGGTTGGTTGGGCAATGGTACAGGCAGAGAGCACTCCTGCTCCCTTATCCTTCACTCTGAGTTTGGTTTGTTAGTTGTCTCTATAACCTGGTGGAAGTCTATGTCATGTGGTCACCATGAGCTTGAGAGTTAAGTCATAAAGGAGAATCGTGACACCTAGAGTTGCAGTCTCTTACTTTAAGCAGCCACATTAGGCATGCACCTCCATGCCTGGCTAACCAATGAATTTTTTAAAAAATGTATCAATTTTCCAGGTGTGGTGGCATACCCCTGCAATCTCAGCAATTCTGGAGGCTGAGGAAGGAGGATTGCAAATTCAAGGTCAGCCTGGACAACTTAGTGAGACCCTATATCAACATAAAATGAAAAGGGTTTGGGATGTAGCTTAGTGGTAGAGTGTCCCTGGGTTCAGTTCCCAGTATGAGAAAAAAAAAAAAGGTTTTACTTTGATCATTACAGCAGAACTATGTACTTCAGGGGTAGGTAGTTGAATGAAATAAGTGAGATGATGTGAAAGCCAACAAGGTTAATTGGAAGTGATGCTGAGCTTCCAATGTTTTATTATTATAAATACTTGGAATGAACAGTTTTGGAATTCAAGTTATTTTTCCCATTTTAGGATATTTCCTTAAGGTATAGTTCAAGAGGTAAATTTACTAGATAAGAAAAAATGTGAATATTTTTAAACATTTTCGTATACCTTGCCAAATTTATTTATCCGAGTGATGAGGGCAGCCACAGATCCTTCACAGTTCTTCAAATGCAAAGTGTGTGATCCACCAAGGGTCTTCCCACAGGCTGCTCCCAGCCAGTGACCTGATGTGGCAGGGATACTAAGCAGTCCAGATTCTGGAAGACAGATCTATCATGGCTGGAGGGCTCCCCCTTTTGTTGCTGAGTCTACCCTATAGTGCCAGAGAGCCTAGGGTGCTTCTACTCACCCTGCCCTCTCTCTGCTAGGGGTCAGTCTGCATTGTGCTGAGACAGCTCTCTCAGTCTTGTTGGGCTCCCTCTCCATTTTCTCTCCCATGGTTCCTCTCATAAAATGCTTGTGTGCTTAATCTAGTTTTAGCATCTGCCTCTCTAAAGACAAGACCCCCTTGCAAACAGTTCTGTTTACTTTTCCATATTTCCCCAAGTAATTGATGAGAATCTTTTACTTCATTTTGTCAGTGTTTGATAGTTTAAAAAATATTTGCTACCTTGAAAAAGAAAGAGAAGCATCTTTTAATTTGTGCATTTTAATAATTGTTTCAGTCAGCTTTTTTTTTTGCTGCTGTGACTAAAGGACCCAACTAACACAATTGCACAATTGTAGAGGAAAGAAGGTTTATTTAAGGGTTCACAGTTTCAGAGGTCTCCGTCCGTAGAAGGCTGGCTCCATCCCTCCAGGTGAGGCAGAACACCATGGTAGAAGAGTGTGGTGGAGGGAAATAGCTCACATCATGAGGAGGAAGCAGAGAAAGAGAGACTCCACTTGACAGATACAAATATATACCCCCAAACCACGCCCCAATTCCACCTCCTCCAGCCATACCCTACCATTTCAATTACCACTCAGTGAATCCCTATCAGGGGATTAATTCACTGATTGGGTTAAGACTCTTATAACCCAATAACTTCTCCTCTGAGCCTTCTTGCATTGTCTCACATGTGAGTTTTCGGGGGACACCTCACATCCAAATCATAACAATAATGACATTTTATATTTTTCTCATAGTCCTTCAGCTATTTGGATATTCCTCTCTGTAGATTGTTCTTGAGTAGTCTATGGACAAACAGCACTTTTTTTTTTTTCTCACAGAAGTGCCTTTTAGGAGGTGTGGTCTCCACTGGCTCCCTCTAGTCTAGCTGCTGGCCCTCTGCAGTTGGCAGGTTCCAACAGGGGTGTGCAACCAGCTGCTGCACAGAGGAGTGACACATGACTGCAGTGTGAGCTCCAGGCCAAACGACACTAAAGTGACCTCAGCAGCTCCTCTTTGATAAGTGCAAAGAGCTAGTCATGTGTTCTAGCACGTGGTCCTGTGGAAGAAGAGACTAGGATTTATAGGGCACCCTCTATGTGCTAGGTCCCTCCCTTCCCTCATTTAAGCTTATATAGTAGGTGTTATTTTCAACATTGGATGGATAAGGACAAATTTCAGTTATTCTTGTTGCACCTAAGGATGGAAATCAGTCTTAAGCTTGAAGGTGCCCATGTTGTTTAGTTAGGTCTCTTACACAGACATTTACACTCATAAAATTCTTGTATGTTTAGTCCAGTTTAGTATCTGCTACTCTAAAGAGCCAGACAAACACAGGTTTATTTGCTTCTCTTTATTGTTTCAAGTAATTGATGAGACTGAGTATTTTACTTTATCTTTACTTCATTTTTTTTTTTTTTTGGTACTGGGGATTGAACCCACGGGCGCTTAACCACTGAGCTAACCAGTGTCTCGCTAAGTTGTTTAGGGACTCATTAAGTTGTTGAGGCTGGCTTTGAACTTTAGTGATCCTCTGCCTTAGCCTGTCGAACTGCTGGGATGATAGGCATGCACTACTGTGCCTAGCTTTACTTCATCTTTAAATCAGAGGCTCCTGTAGGATTTAAGCGTTTTGCATTACACCTGTGGGGGTTTTGTGTTTGTTTGGTTTTTTGCTTTTTAAAATTTATTTATTTACTCTAATTTTTTATACATGACAGCAGAATGCATTTCAATTCATAGTACACATATAGAACACAATTTTTCATGTCTCTGGTTGTACGTTTGATTTTGTTTTTCATTCTGCCTTGTATTGCAGTTATTTGCTTACCTAGATTATACATGTATATCTCACTCAGGAAATAGTCATCAATGAGTGGCACTGATGATGACTTAATCTGATTTTCTGGAATCTGAGTCAGCCTGGAGAATTGACCATGGCTTCCTCAAACATCCAATCTCTTCTTAAAAGTGGAGATGTGTAGCTTTCATTTACTAATCTGGTCTAAAGATATCTCTTTAAATGCAGTTTTTGAAAACAAGCCCCTGTTTCCACAAACAAAACAAAACAAAACACAATGAACCAGTAGGCAAGAAAGCAAAACAAACCTCTAAAAATCTGTATACAAAAGTTGAACTTTTTTTTTTAATATATATTTTTTAGTTGTTGATGGACCTTTATTTTATGCATTTATTTATATGTGGTGCTGAGGATCAAACCCAGGGCTTCACACATGCTAGGCAAGCACTTTACCACTGAGCCACAACCCCAGTACAAAGCTAAACTTTTTATTGAACTGAAATAGTATGCTATTCATCTCTAAAACCAAGGGATGTTGAGAGTGAAGAGGTCAAGTTCTTTTTTTGTACAACCACAATTATTCTCAGGGTCATGAGAAGACATAGTTACTTGATTTGACTCTTCCCAATTTGAGTATCTGAGTGTCCCAAGTCTCCTTTCCCTGCCTTAGTATTATGTGATGAGTTAATAATAAGAAAATATGACTGCATTCTCAGTTTTCACATCTCTAATAAAGCCCATATTTTAAAGCAGTTATGGAACTTTGCACAGAATTCAGATTTAAAGTCAAATTAAATACATAAAAAACTAAGTCAGACAGCAAAGTTTAGTTACCTGAGAAACAACTACTAAATTTATCTCTTCAGTCAGGAACATAATAATATAAATACTTCAAAAAACTCACTATGCTTCCGCTTTCAATTTTACTTTAGGCCTTATTAAATAACACCTTCAGCAAGAAATGTACCTGTATAAATTTAAAGCTATCCTTTAATGTGCTTTGATAACTTGACTGTGTAAAACATTTGTCTTTTTGCTACCGAAATGGAGCTTATCTCGTTGTCAGTTTCAGGAAAGTGATTTAGTTTCTGGGCATTGCTGTTTCTCTGTCTTGGGTACAGATGATCCGAGTCTGGATGGTAAAGACCAAAGGCTTCGAGCAGAGTCAGGATGGTACAGCCTACGATGGACCCTCCAGGACATAAGTACCTTTGCTCTGGAAGGGCTGCTGAAGCTAGGTGGCAGGCAGCCTGAGGAACACTCTGCTCCACCATCACCTCTTCTTGAGATTCTCTTCTCCTTCCCTTCCCCTCCTGATGCACTGCCTTCTCTCTTTGTTTCTTCTGCCCAACCACCTACCTGTGCTCCTGCCTTGGTCAGAGTTCCTCAGGGCTGTATTCTGCCACCTCTATTTCTTTTCCTAAGGAGTCTCAAACCCCATTGGTTCTCACTGTCACAACTTCTCTTATCAAATATTAGAAGGATAAAAGAAATCTGGTGTCCTTTTGAAACCGAGGGAATCTAACTTTCTCCGCCATTAAAAAGAAAAATGTGTGTCACTTATGACTTTAATGAAATTTTGTGCTGGTTTTTGTTAGCAGAGAATAAAATAAATATATAACGTTGTCAGGCCTAGGCCACCTCTTACCCCTCACCAACCTGGCTACTGATCCTGGTTCTGTTCATAGCATTTGACCAAGTTCTTGCTCTCCAAACCACATGGGTGACATTTTTCTCTTTGGGGAAAATCCAAAAGCAAAAGCAATGATTTCAATCACTTGTCATTCACACAGGATGAGATCTGAGGCCGGTTGTTACAAGTCACACCAGCTGGGCAAGCAAATGTGGCTGGCAGGCTGCAGCAGCAGGATGTGCGGGTTGTCATCATAACAACTCCTACTGCTTCCTTAAGCTTTGTTCAGTGGGGAGTCATCTTTCCCTAATTTTGGTTGAAGCTACCCAGCCAAGGTTTTTCTACCCACTCTAAAGTAACAGATAACCCTAGAGTTACTTTAAGTCAGACCAGAGATTTGCTTTACAGTGGGAATGTCCAGGTTGGTGTTATCAAAACTTGAGATGGGCCTGCTGTTTTTATTTCCCCTTCTATCCCAGATAGGCCTATTTCTTCCCAGAAGTCCTCAGTGGTCAAGGGGCGTGGTCCTTCAGTTCCCCATTCTCACCCTGCTCCCAGCTGGGCTTCCTACCCCAGGGAGTGGAAGCTCAGGAAGGCATGAAGACAGCTGTATAGTGAGGGAGGTTCTCCTTGGCTGGGTGGCTCCTGTCTAGGCCCAGGGGGTGGTTGGAGCTGGTATCCCTGGTTGGCTTGCTAGGCTATCAGCCCATTCTTCTCTCTCTTTGTGGGCTTCTCATACGTACCCTATTGGGATTCTCTTCCTCCCTCTCTTTAACCCAGGAAGAAGCTTCTTTCTTTTGAGTGATTTTCTATGACTCCTTTTCTTTCTTTCTTTTTCTTTTTTTTAAATTTTGTTTTTAGTTGTATATGAACACAATATCTTTATTTTATTTATTCATTTTTCATGCAGTGCTGAGGATTGAACCCAGTGCCTCACTCATGCTAGGCAAGCACTTTACGTTAAGCTACACTCCCAGCTCCTATAACTCCTTTTCTTAATCTCTGGACATGAGGTGCTAACTCTTTGACCTCTTCTTGAAGTCCCTATTGGACACAAAACTGGTTCTTCTCTGGGGCTGGAGTTGTGGCTCAGTGGTAGAGCGCTTGCCTGGCATGTGTGAGGTCTTGGGTTAAATCCTCAGCACCGCATATAAATAAATAAAACAAAAGATTCATTGACAACTAAAACAAACAAAACAAAGCAAAACCCTGGCTCTTCTCTATACTTCTCTCAATCCTAGACAAACCTGGGAGATCAGGCTCATCACATTTGTTGTTAAAACCCTCTTCTAAGGGTTGTGGCTCAGCGGTAGAGCGCTCGCCTTGCATGTGTGAGGCCCTGGGTTTGATCCTCAGCACCACATAACAATAAATAAAATAAAGGTATTGTGTCCAACTACAACCGATATTAAAAAAAAAAATACCCTTCTAAGGACCACCATGGAGAGTTTAGTCAGCCTTTTTCTGTCCTCTAAATTTTCCTGAGGGAATGGATTGGATGTGAGACCCAAGTCTATTGTTGACTTCAGATTTATCAAAGTTAGGCACCAGAACAAGTCAGAAAATACATTTCAGAGCTCTCTAAGCAGGTCCTTAGAGCCTGTCTCATTTTACCTAGGGTGGAAGGTGATACTTCAAACCTCTCCCCTGAAGAGTGAGCTGGGACTCCCAGAAAAACAATTTCTCTCTTTGAAGAAAACTTCTTCTCAAACTTTCTTCAATCTATTTTGAAGGTGTGAATACTCAAGCGGGGTTTGCAGTTCAAGTCCAAGGTCTGCTAGAAGAAAAAAAAAACATTTTTTTTTCTTCTCTTGGGAGGTTGGTCTGTTTCTGTTAAAGTTTTGTACTGATTGGATGAGGCCCCATATTCAGGGGGGTAATCTGCTTTAGTCAAAGTCTTCAGATTTAAATATTAATCTTAGCTAAAAAATATTTTCACAGAAACATCAGAAATAATGTTTGATCAAAAACTGGATACTACTGTCTATACAAGTTGACACATAAAAATCAACCATTACTGCTCTAATGAAGTTCTTAGTCTATATTTGGGTGAGGAAACTTAACCTCACCTGATATGCTGATATTTATCATGTTCATATTTGTACTTTAGTAGAAATGCAGGGAAGGAGAGCCTCATTCTAGCATCCTGTTTCACCAAGGTAACTTTCTGGTCACTGTCGACTATGTTGATTCCTGGCTAACACCAAGTTCCAGGCTTTTCTTGGCAATACTGTACAGTTATTGAGGGTGTAGACTTTGGCCTCTGGACATGATCTAGAGTAGAGCTTGGGAGGGGAAATCAAAAGGGCCATCTGAACCTGGTAATTCTGGTCAGTGTTTTAAAATAGTTTCTTTAGAATTGAAAGGTAGTTATTCAAAGTGGCCTGAGGTCATTTCTTCATTGGTCAGTCATGTGTATGATATGATTACTTCTTTTTTTTTAACTTTTCAAACTTTGATTTATTCTACATATTTTTATGATTAGTACTTGAGCCACCAATAAGCAAGAAGAGTGAGAAGTCAACTTCATCTAAACTTAATTTGGCTTCAAGGGGAAACCTGGGCATAGTAACTGTCAGTTGCTAAGAAATATAGGTGGGGCCCTCAAGTGAAGATGAGAGGGTAGAGAGAGTTGAGATGAAAGCATTATTCAAAGTGCAGAAGGGACCCAGAGGAGTCCTATGTCCCTGCTTCTTCCTTCTCACAGAGAAATTCTTCTGAAATTTTAGAATCCAAAGAACTAAATTCTGAAAGGAATAAATTATGAGACTAGATTCTCTTCTTCCAAAGTCTGGAGAAGAGAGAAGCTATGGTTAGGAACAATGCTTGGAGTGAAGGGAGGGAGAGTGAATAGGCCAAGTTCTAGGGTGGATAGGGAAAAAGATAAGGTGCTAATCCCATTGTGGAATTAAAATGGAAGGAAGCAAATCTATGCACATACAGTCAACTAAACTTTGATAAAGGTGCCAAGAATATGGAATGGGGAGCGGATAGTCTCTTGGTGAATGGATGGATAAATTGCTAATAAATGGTGCTGAGAAAATCAGTCACATACAAAAGATTAAAATGGGATTCTTATACCCCAAAATCAACTCAAAATGGTTTAAAGACTTAATTGTAATATTTGAAACTGTAAAACTCCTAGAAGTACACACAGGGAACAAATTCCTTGACATTGACCCAGGCAATGATATTTAGGATATAACACCCAAAGCACAAAGAGAACAGCAGCAAAAATAAACAAACCAGACTACATTATCCGTAAAACAAACAGACAAAATGAAAAGGCAACCTATGGAATGGGAGAAAATATGTGCATATTTTATGTATTTTTCAGAGTTCTCCAGAGAGACAGAACTAATAGGACATATATGTATAGATAGATTTAAGAAAGAGGATTCAGTAGGAGGATTGGCTCATGTGACTATGGGGGCTGAGATGTCCTTACAATAGGCCATTTGCAAGTTGGGGAATCAAGAGTCTAGTAGTGTGGCTCAGAACTGGGGAAGCCAATTGGATAACTCTTGGCCAAATGCCAAAGGCTTGGGATGGGGTTGAGGATACACATGTACAAGTTCTGGAGTCCAAGCACTAGACGATCTAGAGTTCTGGTGTGGAAGGGAAGGAAAAGAAGGGTGCCCCAGCTCCAAGAAAGAGAGAACAAATGAATTTAGCTTTCCTCTGTCTTTCTGGGTCCTGAGTCAATCATGGGGCACCCACATTGAAGGCAGATCTTTTTAACTCAGTCCATTGACTCACACGCACATCTCCAGAAACACTCTCACAGACACACCTAGAAATGCTGCTTTACCAGCTACCTAGGTATCCCTTAATCCAAGGATGAATGCAAAGGTGGAATCCAAGTGAGCCATCACCCATATATATCAGGTACATTGTGGTTAATTGGGATTGTGTCTTGCTATTATTTTATATATAAAAGCATTAATATTCATGATAATAAGGAACTCATGCAGCTCAATAGCAAAACAAAAACAAACCTCCTCCCACAAATAACACAATTAGAAAATGAACAAAGACTTCAACAGACATTTTTTAAAAAGAAGAAATATAAATGGCCAACAGATAGGTGAAAATGTGCTCAACATCACTGATTACCAGGGAAATGCAAATTAAAACCACAATGAGATATCACCTCATACCTGTTAGGATGACTATTATTAAAAAGTACAAGAGAAAACAGTGTTGGTAAGAATGTGGAGCAAAGGAAACTCTTGTTGGTGAAAATATAAATTTTTACAGCCATTATGGAAAACTATATGGAGGTTGCTCAAAAAATTAAAAATAGAGCTAGCATATGTTTCTGCAGTCCCACTAAGGGTATATATCTGAAGGAAATTAAAAGAATATTTCAAAGATATATCTGCATTTACATGTTTATTATAGCATTTTTCATAGTATTTAAGATATGGAAACAATGTATCCATTAGCAGAAGAATGGATAAAGAAATTACACGCCCCCCCTCCACACAGAGGAATATTATTCAGCCTTAAAAAGAAAGGAAGTCCTACTCTCTGGGACAATGTGGATGAACTTTGAGGACACTATATTGAGTGAAAGAAGCCAGCCACAGAAAGATGAATATTTCATGATATCATTTAAATATGGAATCTAAAAATGTCAAACATGGAGTAGCAGAAAGTAGGGTGGTGGTTGTTAGGAGTGAGGGGGTTGGAAATGGGGAGATGTTGGTTAAGCAGTATAAACTTTCAATTATAAGATGAATACATTTAGGGGATCTAATGTACATCACAGTAACTAGTTACTAATAGTGTGTTTCTACTTGAAATTTGCCAGGAGAGGCCAGGTGTGGTGGTGCACGCCTGTAATCCCAGTGGCTCAGGAGGCTGAGGCAGGAGGATCACGAGTTCAAAGCCAGCCTTAGCAAAATGAGGCACTAAGCTACTCAGTGAGACCCTGTCTCTAAATAAAATACAAAAAAGGGCTGGGGATGTGTCAAGGGCCCCTGAGTTCAATCCCTGGTACCCACCACTGCCCCTGCCCCCCGCCAAAAAAAAGAAGTTTGCCAAGAGAGTAAATCTTCAGTGTCCTCACTACACACACACACACACACACACACACACACACACAAAATGGCATCTATATCAGGTAATGGACATATTATTAGCTTGATTATAGAGATCACTACACAAGGACACAAGTATACTTATAATAAAATGTCACCTTATATATCTTAAAAATATACAATTTTTTGATAATCATATTTTAAGAAAGCTGGAGGAAAAAACCAAAGTAGAAACTCTCTCTTTTTTTTTTTTTTTTTTTTAGGAAGAAAACTATGGTGCCATAGTTGCAGAGGTCTTAGTCCAAAGATGGCTGATGCTATTGCTCTGGGCCCAAGGTGAGACAGGACATCATCGGGGAAGAGGTGGAGGAAAGCAGCTCAGGACTTGGCTATCAGGAAGCAGAGAGCCAGAAACTCCTAAAGAGCTAGAGGGGTAATTTAGTAACAGAGTGCTTGCCTAGCAGGAGCAAGGTCATGAATTCCCCAGCAGTGCCAAACAATATCAACAACAATGAGTCAAACAGATAAACAAACTGGAAGAGGGGAAATGGTCTGCAGAGTTCTTCTGCGCAGGAACTCTTACTTTCAACATTCCTCAGTTATCCTTATTGGTCCCAATCCTGTCTCTCAATATAAGCTGGAAATGCTGACTTTGTTTTCCACAGTGACCACTAACAATAGCTTGGACCTGGCAAAGACACTCTTTCCCTGCCTGGAAGGTAGTGAGGCTGTGAGAGCCTCAGATTCTACTGCAGGGAAAGCTGTGGGTTTTCTGAATTTACTTGGAACCTGAAATACATCTTCCTTTCAAATGTTATTATAATTCATGTCCAGGTTCTTATTTATTTATCATGAGCATAGAATTCTATTTCAGGTACATTGTGGTTAATTGGGATTGTGTGGGCTGGTCTGGGCTTCTAACTGTCTTGCTATTATTTTGGGAAAAAACATTGAAATTCCAAACAGTTGGCTTATCACTACATAGGTGCACACATTCTATGCTGGGGCTGCCTGTGTTTGGATTTAGTTTATAAATGTGGCAGAGTATAAAACATAGGAAAGTAATAACTTACTATCATAAGAAAAAGTACAGGAAAACATGTAATGCAACCATTGAGATGAGTCTTAGCAGTTACTTGATGTGCCAATGAATTTCTATCTGTCAAGTTAGGAGTTCTTTGTTAAGCAAAAATCTCACATAGATCCAGTGGTGTAAAACCGATAAAAAGCAGTGCCGCTGAGGCTGAAGTAGAGAGGCTGAGACTCCGGGGTACTTGATCCACTCTGCACATCAGCTACTGAGGAGAGCTCCATGGACTTCTGGATCTATGGAACACAGTTTGAGAACACTGTTATAAATTCAGAAATCATGCTCAGACTAAGCCAGGTGCAAGGATACCCAGATATTATAGAAGCACAGAGGACCCCAACCAGAAATAGTAATTTTATAAACATATCATAACTAATCTGTCAGTTCTCACTAAATTGGATGCCATAGTTGTGGTCCTTGGCCTCTTTGCCTTTAGATTCTTTTAAAATGAAAATTAAAATTAAAAAAATAATAATAATAAAATAAAAAAAAAATTTAAAAAAATAGAAACATTGAAAAAAAATTAAAGAACAACAACAAATAAAAATTGAAAATGAAAGAAAAAGAAGAAAGAAAAAAAAAAAGAAAAAGAAAAGAAAAAAAAATGATAATAATAATAATAATAAATGCAGTCCTAGAGTTCTATTAACTTCTCTTCCAGTAGGTGGAGCTCTGCCCACTGGGCCAAGCTTCTCCTCTCAATAGGTGGGAACCATTCACTGTGCAGCAGCTCTTTCTCCTAGACTGGGCGGGTCTCCAATCCTGAGTGTCTAGGGCCTTGTCTTGTGTTTCCTCAAGCCAGGCCGTGCTCACCTGTGGCGCTCACCACAATACTGTCTACACGCCAGGTCTGCTGCTCCTGGGAGCCCTGTTTTCATGAACACCTGGGCTCACTCTCCCTGTTTGCCTCCCTCAGACCCTAAGTTTGTAGAGCTTGGGGCTGAGATCCCCCAGCGAATTTGCTTGCCCTCCTGTAGCCACGCCCCCGGTAGCTGGTGCAAGAGCCCTCAGTTGTCAGCACTGGTGGGAGCGGTAGCCGGGAGTTCCGCGCCGCGAGTCCTGCGCCACTCCTGGTTCCCTCGGTCTGGTTATTGCGTTCACAGGAGAGCTGGGAGTGGCCCTTAAGGTTTCCCCGCTGTGTGGAGAGAGATGACTAGGGGATTACACACCTGTCGCGCTGGTTTCACTGCAGTTATCTCCTCCGCCCATGACGCCATTTCTCTGCCATGGTGATATCCCATGCAAATGGTGACCGTTTGTTCCCTTTGCCGGATGACCAATGCAACGGGTGGGTCCTGACTGTCTCTCCCAATCCCCGTTTCAGTCCTGTGGCCACTGCCTATGAAGGCTCGGTTGGCTTTTACCTCTGTAAGTTCCTAAGGGCCGGCCAATTATTTCAGCGGGATCGTTAGTGCTGAGTCACATGAAGCAGGCGAACCGGAGCTTTATTGCTCTTCTCTGCTCTGGTTTGATATCCAGGAGTCTGAACCTGCAAGTTCCTATGACAGCTGATTCCTATTTGGTCAATAGGAGGCCAAAGCAGGAGACCACAGGCAGATTGGGAAGGAGAAGGCAGGATATTTTTCTACCACTTCCCCCACCCTAAGCCTCCTACAAACTCTCCCACACACATGCCCCTTCCCACTCACACCCTCTCCCTGCCTGGGGTGATGCTTCTGACAGGGACCATGTCTTCTCTGTGGCTCTAACTCCCCTAGACAGTCTGTCATGGATCTATCCCCACTGATAGCAGGTACCACAAATCTAAGAAATGGTTAGGAGAGAAAAATCTTAAAACAAAAAATTCTGGCAATTTACTAGGATGTTTTCCCTTGTGAATTGGGAGAAGGAAATGCCATTCTTTTATTTTTGGTAATGAAATACCCACCTGCCAAAGAAGCATGGTTTGCAAATCAGAGCATCCTGAAACAAATTTAATATTTTGACTTCAAGAGACTCTGGATAAAACAAGGATGTGTGGCTGATCATTTCAGTTGGACGTTGGGGCTATTTTGAACTCTTTCATTTGAGAGCAGTGATCCTGGAGCCCTACCTGGGCTCTCCCTCTGCTCTCCAGCATCTCCCTGCCCAGGAGATACTGCCTCGTGGCAATTCCCTGAGAGCTTGTAGTCTTAGAATATTCTGTTTTCTTCCCCCCCCACTTATATATGGGAGTTATATTTGATCTCTTGATTCAGATTGGGATTGAATTTGATCTCTTGATTCTGGAAATGGTGGAGACTATAATGTTAGCTCACTTAGTTTAATGTCTCAAGATGCTGAGAGCTTTTGGCGGGAAGGGGGGGAAGGAACTGGTCATAGGGGACAGGGAAAGATCCCGTCCTCTAGATGAGATAGGGCTGTTCCTTCTGACATTTAGAATCCTTATTCTAAATGTTATTGTGTTATTTGTGAGGTTATTTGTGCATGTGAGTTCCCTTGCTTTCCAGATGAATACCAGGCATAGGTAAAATCTTTGAAGATTCTCTGTGAAACAGACTTCTCTTTGTCTTCTTTTAAGTAAAGTCAGGACCTCAGAGGCTCATGGCTACCAAACAGGCAATCCTGGCCTTGATAACAGAATGTTCTATAAGTTTCCAGAAAATCTACTCCTGGAACCAGACATCATCCTGTTTACACGTCAACTGATGAGAACTAGAGTAAAAAATAACCTTAATTTTGGTGAGAAAGTTCTCACCTGCTGGTATTGATTTTGCCTGTCCAGTGTTGCTTTAATTTTGATACTATGACCTCTTGGACCCCTAGCCTGGTTTCTGAGCCAAGAAGAGGCAGGCCTGGGTCTAAACAAGGCAACTTCTTTCCACCAATATCATAATTTAGAATCTAGCATGAGCTCATGGACCTTGGTGTGAGGTGTGCCCATTTAACTGAGGCCTCTTTGCTTACCCCAACCTGTCCCTAAACCTGGCTACAATTCTTCTCTGGCTCCTGGTTGTTATAATTCTCTGTTGAAATGAGAGACCTATCCGAGATCAACTTTTTGTCCAGGGTTGGACTTGCAAACTGTCACCTGCCCTCTCTCCCTGGCTGGTTGAGGTTCTGCTTCAACCAGATGAATAGCTCTCTGCTCACTCCCAAACCAAGATGCTACAACACACCTAAGAACCAGCGCACACTATTGTCCCAAGACTGCTGCCACCATATTAGCTCTCTCTTGAATGTTGTCATGTGGACTGCTGGTCACCCATCTGGGGACACATCCTATAACCAGTTCCCTCTTAGCCTCAGTCTTAGTCAGTTGCCTCTAACTTCTAGAGTGAAGTTAGTTTCCCAGTGTATGTTCCTGGGGTAATGCCACTCCCTCTCTGACAGCCAAGTCTTGATATCCTCAGGGTCAGAAGGAGTTTGAAATCCAGCTTGATTTTCCCTGGTATAAATTTATGTTACTATATATAGTTGACATGTGCTGATATGTAGTCACATGTCTATGTATTAGCACATGAATGAAAATAACTTTATTTTTTCTAAGACAAGATTATTGTGTAAAGATAGAGAATGTGAAATTCTCTCTACAAGTCACCACTCTGATTCATAATGTCAACAATTTATATTGATGTAATTCTCTCAGAACTTTTTAATAGAAGTATAAACACAAACACACATACCTATATTTAAAACAGAAATTGGACTATACTCTTCTATAACTGCTTTTAATTTTATCTTTAGGATTTATCACTGGACATCATTCTGCCCTGGCTTTAAACCTGAACTCCCTTCAGCTCAACTTCAGAGTGGTCTATGATTTAAGTACGAAAGAATAATTCTTCCTCTTTTTATAGTCTTTGTTGGGGGGCTCTATTTGTTAAATTATTTATAGTGATAGGTTCTACAGAAATAGATGTTTTTTATTGAGACCATCAAAACCCTCAGTGCTTTAATGATTCTGCTGATTAAGTGGAAAGCACATGAAGCCACCTCAACCTGTCAAGCAAAGGAAAATGCTCGCTCCCTAATGTAAATGGATTACATTGAAACCTGATCTCTTGCTGCATCAAGTTATGGTGTTTCATGCTCTAAAGACCAGGCAGGTATTACTTTGCACTGTTCTTATAGAATGTTGAACTTTTAAGACGAAGAACCAAATTTTAAAACTGTCATAAATCTGAGTCTGGCTTTCAGAAGGCAAGAAGACTATTTTTAGTGTGTCTGGATTGCAGTCTTTCCCTTTGGTAGTTGATGATGACTGCACAGTAAGAATGAAAAATGAAACTTCTGGAGATTGGATAGCTAAGGAGATTGAAAATAACACCCAGACTGTGGAGCCTTTGGGTCACCAATTTGAATTCAGCTCAGATCAGTGATGACTACAAATTGTTCTGTCTGATAGCAGCGAGGCTTGCAGAAAATGCTTTCTTCATCCTTAGCTATGTTAATGATGTCTCAGTGTTTGGAAAGCCAGGCTTGCCATTATAGATTGTCATCCCTTAGAGGGCAGCGGTCCTGTCTGCACGGCGCACTTTTTACACTCTCACTTCCATGAGTGTTGATTAGATGCTTTTGATTATGGAGATAGAAGAGTGCTCTCTCTGAGATGTGAAGTTGTCACTACCAAGCATTCCTGTGAAATATGAGAGCAGCATCTCTTCCAGTTTGTTCTGGGTGGCCTTGGAAATGATTTAGTCCCACACAATGACAAATGATCTTTTTTTATAGTCCTGTCAGCAAACACTGCAGCTCTTGGTGAGATGTAAAGATGGTTTCCACATTTCTTTCCTTCTTTTTCAGATTTGCACTCATCTATTGGCGAGCTCAATACTCCCCTTTTCCACTGGTTTCCTTCATCACTTTGGCCCACTTTCGTCATAACATGTCATTATGAATTCCACTTGTTTTGCCTGTGTTAAACGTAATCTTCCGCTGGTGTTTGTCTTTTCCTGAATGCATCCTATCTCCCTATGCAGAGGGTTTTTTCTTGAGACCAGGTCTTGCATCTTTTCGTAACCCCCTCATCCACTAATACAGAGTTTATAACAGTAGGTACTGATATTTGTGGATTTTCGTAATAATGTTCAAAAATTCACTAAAAGTCTTAATTAAATGTTTGCATAGTCTTTTATGTTAACTGTATTTGGTGAATTATGCTTTTTTTTCCCAACTCTTTGAATACCATGTTACTAGTGCCATGGAGATGGTGTCTGTTTTGGTCCTGTAGATTGAACACTGTAAAACACTAGAGGGCATATTCACATGAATGATGGCTGAGGTGGGTACCACC